TCCGACCGCCATATTCTTTCACTGAAAAATATCATGTTCCCGATGTTGCAAAAATAGAACCGCAAAAACCTTTCGGTCACCGTAAAAAAAAACTTTGCTCAAAACTCAGAATGTGTTTAGATTACACCCATAGATGATTTACATTGTCCCCAGTCATATCTTCCGATGAACAGAGCTCCATCAGCCCGACGCAGAGACAAGAGCAAATTTGATGCACACTTTGATGCATCAGACTCCCTCTATGTTGACGTGCGTCGAAATAGATTTGACTTGCGTCGAAATATATTCGAACCTCAGTTCGAAATATATTCTACCATCCACTTTTCCGTCTGAGCACTTCACCTTTTGAGATTTGTGAAGATAAGCCGCCTCACAATATATGGTTGACTTCACGAAATTTTATATGGTTTGCCCCCGTGAAGATGCAACTGATTTATTTTACAACCGGGACAGCATACTCCCTCTGTTCAATATTAACAGTGGTTTACACTTCTAAATTAGCAGTGAGCCTCCTTCAAACACTCATTTTGTCATGCAAAAGGGCTTTTGTTCAGGTGCTGGTCTCAACTTGGTAAGCAACGGGGTGAGACTTTGATACCATCATTAAGTTGGATGTCTCTTGGCTTCGCCCGTCTTCATGTGTGGAGTCCAAGGATGGACGGGAAGGTGGAATTTGAGGGGAGTAAGGTGACCAAAATACCAGTCCGACCTTTTTTGTTGTGTTCAAATTTGACTGCCGATACATACATTTTTTTTTGCCTCTGTCACCAGAAAATCTTCCGGAGCTGTCTGAGAGACATTGTGTAAAATTTGGGTTGGAGTCGGTGGAGGTTCCTTGGCACATGATTGAATTGTGAATGCAGTGGATGGTGTCTCCCCAGTGGCAGAAACAAGCCAATATCTCACGGTTGACCGTGGATGATCCCATCAAATTCGATATTGGCTTGGTCGCTGTACACTCGACCGCTATTCCTGTGAGGACACAAGTAGGGAGACCTGGGACTATCTGTGGGTCAAATCTTGGGGGATTCTGAGAGTTTGCCAAAAAGTTTTTTCGCGGTGACCGAAAAGTTTTTGCGGTTCTATTTTTGCAACATTGGGAACGTGATAGAAAAATGTCTGAAAACCCAACGACATTTTTCACCGTAAATTGTGCTGAAAAATTTGAATCAACCAACCAGTAAAATGTCTGAAAAACTGCTGGAATTTATGGTGAAAATTTAGCATGAACTCTTATGAACTTTTTTTCAAGTTTTTCACCTTGAATTTCGCTTAGAATTGAGGTGAAAAACGTTTAAAATTTCACCCTCTTTTTCATTGAAAAATGTCTGAAAACCCAACGACATTTTTCACCGTAAATTGTGCTGAAAAATTTGAATCTCCCAACCAGTGTCAGTTCTCTTGATACTCGAGTTCTTGACTGAATACCACTTAAATTTCATGTTTTAACCTGAACCTCAATGCTTAAGTTTGACAATCCTGGTATGGCATCTTAAGTCTGGTTCAGAGTCTCAAGTTCTATTGGACATGAGAACTTAAGTCCTACTAAAGGTATCGTTGTGAGCTGTCACTTTGTGATGCGCTCTGAACGCGGCCAAACGGGAGGAAAATCGTACTCACGACAGTGACTCCGTATCAATGAAAAAGGATCGGATACACCACCACCAGGGCCAGACCCCGAATCGAACGGAGACCTTGCGAGGAAACATTATGGGAGTCTGTGTAGTCGTCTCGCGCGCGTTACCATTCCGCCACCGGGCCGAACATCAGACTCCGAATCAATAGGAAACCCACAAGAAACCCACAAGTAAGCAGGAAAATATTGATAGAGTTACCTGGCCGTTCAATGCGTTCACTCAAAAACTCGACGCGCATGAGCTCAAAAACGAAACGGAGGCAAAGGCTTCTTGATGGTTTATCAAGGCCAGACCCCGAATCGAACGGAGACCTTGCGAGGAAACATTACAGGCTCTCTTATCTGTCTCGCATGCGTTGCCGTTCCGCCACCTGGCCGGTACTAGGGAAGGAAATGGGGGGGCAAACGGAGACGAAGTGGTTGCGCTATGGGAAACGGGGCGACTAAACGGAGAACTGAGGCGGTTCTTGGGAAACGGGGTGACTGAAACGGGAAACGGATGCGACACGAGGCTGCTCCGAGTCAATCTCTAACCCCTTCGGAATCGGGAACGCATGGGCGATCACAGAGGCGAGTCAGAACTGAAAAGGTGGAACGTCCGTTTCCAATTAAAGGGATAAATACGCGCGCGAGTATCGGACAGAGTACAGTATAAAAGCCGGCTGTAAGATACGGAATTAGCATCTTATTACCTCCCACTGCATTTACCTAAAGCTACTCCCCCTGAAGTACACCAGGGTGGGGAACTAAATTAAAATACACTCCGCTACGGGTCGTGCCGCCCAATAGTAGGACAAACCAAGGTCACCTAGAAGGCCAGGGCTTGTCAAGAAACCCCGTCCGTCTCACCTCCGTTTCGATAAATCGATACGGGGGAAATATAGTCAATCCGGAGTTGAAAGCGCGCGGTAGTAGATTAACGCGGCACACCACCAAACGGCCAGTCGCCTAACTTGGCTTCGTGCAACCGTTCCTTTTCGGAGTTCGAGCGCATATCCTTGCGAGGAACCCACCCCATCGTACACGGAAGGCCTATCCTACGCGATCATACCATTTCCCCCATTCAATTCGCACACTTCACCCCCGAGTCTTCGAAACGGAAGTGATTCCGTTTCAAGGCGTTCACCAACGGAGAAACTAGGCTACGAAGGGAATCGCTATAGCCATCCGTATAGTGTTGCACCGTACTGAAGAGACCTGCCGTCCGATACGTTCGAGACGGGTGGATAAAGCATAACAGATAACCCGAGTACTCCGGAACGGAACAGCATTCGCATTGCGGAGCGTACCCTTCGAGCAAGTGTAGAAAACTATCCATCCGCGGTACCTTCGGAAGGCCAGCCCCCAACGAAGAACTAAATCTTCGAGGAACCTGGCAAAGCATTCAATCCAAACGGAGAGAACTGTACACACACACGCACCACAAATTATATATCGCGCATTAGCGTACCTTAAAACTACGCAGCTCCGCGAAAGAGCAATTTCCCCCTAGAGGACGAATTAAATTCTGTAAAACACTACTTGACTATACCCACCCCGGGTCAGGCAGTTCACAGAACCGTAGTCCGCATCACATCGTGCAGCATTGCCGTATAGCAGTACTGTGTGTAGGTTAGGTATAGATCCTAAGAGATAAATGTCTTAAGACCTTGGCATCTTAAGTTCAATTTCGGTCTAGACCGGGTAGGTCTTAAGAGGAGCTAATAAATTAGTTGTGTGGTTTTCAATGTTCGGTGTTTACCGTCTTACCTGCTGTGCTATTTCTTTCGGAATTTGTTCCCTACCATTTGGGTAAATCCTAAGATGTAGCAAATAATTAGTTTGAGTCACACCTAAAGGTTGCCGTCCCGAACGAAATTTATTTCGTGTTAGAACTTCGGCGGCTCCTCGGGCCGAGCGGGCGCTTATACGATTTCAGTACGGTGAACGTTCATACTGCGAGCGGTCACTACACAACACTCACCAGATGCTGGGGAACTCTCGGAACACTATTCTCGAACGAAAAAATGCAATTATATTGAAAGTAGGTAATCTAGAGCATCGTGGTAATTTACATAACCTGGGTTTCAAATGGCACAGCACAGCGGGAGGATGTCGAAACATAGTGCCCACGAAAAGGTCTTTGTTCGGCGCGGGGAAGGCGGCGGGGGGGGGGCAATGGGCGCGGTGTGATGCGGACTGCGGTTCTGTGAACTGCCTGACCCGGGGTGGGTATAGTCAAGTAGTGCTTTACAGAATTTAATTCGTCCTCTAGGGGGAAATTGCTCTTTCGCGGAGCTGCGTAGTTTTAAGGTACGCTAATGCGCGATATATAATTTGTGGTGTGTGTGTGTGTACAGTTCTCTCCGTTTGGATTGAACGCTTTGCCAGGTTCCTCAAAGATTTAGTTCTTCGTTGGGGGCTGGCCTTCCGAAGGTACCGCAGATGGATAGTTTTCTACACTTGCTCAAAGGGTACGCTCCGCAATGCGAATGCTGTTCCGTTCCGGAGTACTCGGGTTATCTGTTATGCTTTATCCACCCGTCTCGAACGTATCGGACGGCAGGTCTCTTCAGTACAGTGCAACACTATACGGATGGCTATAGCGATTCCCTTCGTAGCCTGGTTTCTCCGTTGGTGAACGCCTTGAAACGGAATCACTTCCGTTTCGAAGACTCAGGGGTGAAGTGTGCGAATTGAATGGGGGAAATGGTATGATCGCGTAGGATAGGCCTTCCGTGTTCGATGGGGTGGGTTCCTCGCAAGGATATGCGCTCGAACTCCGAAAAGGAACGGTTGCACGAAGCCAAGTTAGGCGACTGGCCGTTTGGTGGTGTGCCGCGTTAATCTACTACCGCGCGCTTTCAACTCCGGATTGACTATATTTCCCCGTATCGATTTATCGAAACGGAGGTGAGACGGACGGGGTTTCTTGACAAGCCCTGGCCTTCTAGGTGACCTTGGTTTGTCCTACTATTGGGCGGCACGACCCGTAGCGGAGTGTATTTTAATTTAGTTTCCCACCCTGGTGTACTTCAGGGGGAGTAGCTTTAGGTAAATGCAGTGGGAGGTAATAAGATGATCATTCCGTATCTTACAGCTGGCTTTTATACTGTACTCTGTCCGATACTCGCGCGCGTATTTATCCCTTTAATTGGAAACGGACGTTCCACCTTTTCAGTTCTGACTCGCCTCTGTGATCGCCCACGCGTTCCCGATTCCGGAGGGGTTAGAAATTGACTCGGAGCAGCCTCGTGTCGCATCCGTTTCCCGTTTCAGTCACCCCGTTTCCCAAGAACCGCCTCAGTTCTCCGTTTAGTCGCCCCGTTTCCCATAGCGCAACCACTTCGTCTCCGTTTGCCCCCCCATTCCCTTCCCTAGTACCGGCCAGGTGGCGGAACGGCAACGCATGCGAGACAAATAAGGAGCCAGTAATGTTTCCTCGCAAGGTCTCCTCCGTTCGATTCGGGGTCTGGCCTTGATAAACCATCAAGAAACTTTTGCCTCCGTTTCGTTTTTGAGTGAATGCGCGTCGAGTTTTTGAGTGAACGCATTGAACGGCCAGGTAGCTCTATCAATATTTTCCTGCTTGCTTGTGGGTTTCCTATTGATTCGGAGTCTGATGTTCCTATAATTGAAATCAGGTTCGTTTCGTCTTCTTGTCCGTTTGTCAAGTCGTAATCACGGCCAGGTGGCGGAATGGTAACGCGCGCGAGACAAATACACAGACTCCCATAACATTTCCTCGCAAGGTCTCCGTTCGATTCGGGGTCTGGCCTTGCTGACGCAGAGGATCCTTTTTTTGCTTGTGGTCTCGGTGAGTACTCGCGGTCAGATAGTGTAACGGTAACACGCTTGGACTCGATACATTGGGATGGAGCGATTCTCCAAGAGTACCCTGTTCGATTCGGGGTCTGGCCCTGGTGGTGGTGTATCCGATGCTTTTTATTGATACGGAGTCGCCGTCGTGAGTATGATTTTCCTCCCGTTTGGCCGCGTTCAGAGCGCATCACAAAGTGACAGCTCACAGCGGTACAGGAACACTGGGCCGGGAATTGGGGTACCGGGAGGGGGCAGTAAGCGGGGAATATTTCGTTGCATCTGTCCCCCTCTGTCTCGACTTGCCAATACAGAATTTTCACTGGGCCTCAGGCTTGGGGATGTTTCAGATGCTCTCTTCAACTGTTCTGTTGCCGAGGGTCTTGAAACACCAAAGCTGTGATTGAGGCTCGAGGAGGCATTCAAATGACTGCAATATTTATTTATTAACCAACTGAAGTGTAAGACTACCATATTGGCGACGTCTGGAGGCGACGTCAAGAGAAGAAAATAGAATATTAATGTGGAGACTCTGACACTCGCATTTTATACCACAGACTACGGTTATCCCCGACAAGGCACTGTGAAGAGGAAGTGTCATGAATTTCCTCATCACTTTCATAACCTTCAACGAGGAAATTCAGGATGTTTCAACAAGAAATTCCTCACGGGAATCCACGACGGCCAGAAAAATCACAAAAATGGTAGCTCAACCATCATGAATCGGGTCATGAAATTCAAGTCTCGATTCCTAACAAAACATCAGGAAACTTGAAATTCATAACAACACATGTTGAAATTCATGACGAATCCTTCTTACAGTGTTCCAGCAAGTTGGTAGCACCTTCTCTCGACAATTTCATTCATCCGAAAGTCACGGACAAACCGCAGTCGAGAATGTCAATAAAATATAATGATATACATCACGGAACTTGGCAAGTTACTGCGGATAACTGCGGCTGCGAGCTCTCAACCACCGGACAGTTCACTACTGCGGCCACAGCTTCCACAGCTATAAGGCCACTGCGGTAGACTTGCAAGAGTGTTGAGATGTAATGTAAGCTATCATCTACGTCATATGTGAAAAACCAGTTTCAGGATGCGGGAAAACCGATGACAAATAACGAGTTTAAAATTAAAATTTTAAGACTCGTAATTTCAGTGTGTTCTGAGCATATTGGAGTCCTCTCTATGGCTTATAAACGATATCCAACATGCCGTCTGTCGATAGAGGGCGCTCATTTTCATGCCTAAGACTCGATCCCGTTGGAGAAGGAATAGTATTCTTGGAAAAGAAGGTGCTCACGATCAAAACAACCGCCCTATGCCGTCTGTTGATCGAAAGCGCTCATTTTCATTACTGAGACTCGATCATATCGGGTTTAACTTTGAAGACAGAAGGAAGAAGATTCTTGGAAAAGAAGGCGCTTATTGTCAAAATAAGCGCCAACCCACAACATAGAAATGATCTTCAGGATACCACCTGTCGATAGAGAGCACATTGATCATATTTTGAACAGAAGGACCACACCATCTGTCGATGGAAGACGCTGATACCCTCAGTTCGGGTTTTGATAGGAGCGCACTCTTTCTACCGACAAGGAACCGCACCTAATCTGCAAACAAGCGCCCTCGAATATGGGACAAGGAGCGCTCAAAATGGAACATTTGCAAGGGAAAATTTGCAATGGAGGCTGTCGGCAACCCGTTGCGGCATTGGCAATGGAATCATAATCAGTAAAACCCGTCTGGAACCTGATTGAAGTTTTCCAGCCTGTCACCCGCTCTGGCATTCTCGAGCGACCCCGGTCTCAACGGGAATTCACTGACTGCATTGTTGCGCGCTGAACACGGACTTTGGATTCCATCCTATCTGCCATCGTATACATGGAAGAGGAACCGGACAGTCCCGGATTGGTGAAGCTAATTGCGCGGGCGTCAAATCTGCAACTTCTTTCCGATATGTACACTCGGTGCTTGCAATCCTGTCCGACGGCCTTGAAGCCCGTCTGTTCAACTTTACGAAACGGGAAATAGGAACGGTATATAATGAGCCGTTAAGTTTGTTTTCAGACAGTTTCCGATCGAACTAAAAACCTTCACGATGTACGCTGCCCGCCTCTTTGCGCTCGTTTTGGCCACCGCGGTCACTCTCGCGGCGGCCAACCCCCTCGTCGCCCCAAGGGAACAGTGCGGCATCTGCACCTCCCCTACCGGATGCCCCGGCTCGTGCGCCGACGACGGCCTGTGCCACGGTGTCTGTGTATCGGGTTCCATTGTCAACGTTCCTTGCCCAAATGCCTGCCCAGGCACCCCAAACTGCCAGATCGACAACGACGGCGTTTGCCAACCTGTGAACATATATTCAATTATTCCGAAGGGCATCGAGCTAATTTTTTTAATTTTTAGTGGACATTCTGAAGCTGGATTTTGTTGAGGAAGGAGGTGAATTGTTGGGGGATCTATTGTTCTCAGAATGTCATCCTGTCAAGAGTTTAGAACGAAATCTTTTGTCCTGTGAATGAGTCTTGACTCTTTTCGCCAGGAAGCTTTCGGCAAAGTTCTTCTCTTTTGGTGGTTTTGAGCTGGTAGGTACGTAGGATTACACGTCACGGTCCGGATAACGAACGCCGGTTTCGGAGAGTTGTCCCGGTGTACAAAGTAGGGTTGCGGAAGAAACTCCAGGGGGTACAACAAAGTCGGTAATTTACCACCCAAAATTTTTCCGGGGTACAACAATTGTAATTTACGCGGAAAGTTACATTTTCGGACCCATCACGTGGTCAAATCACGCGTATTTCTCAAAAAAAATCGCCGCTGGTGCTATGCACGCGCAAAGCCACATTAGACCACACAAGATGCCAGGCAAACCAGGTTAGAAGGACATGAGACAGGAGTTGGTATGGTTAATATTCTACTGACTTTAGAAAATGCTGGCGACGTCGGGTTGCACAATACATGGTATTTATTTAGCACTTAAGGAACTCAAATGTAGCTTATCTGGATTAAATGGTACTAGTGTGTGTCGGAGACGTGAAAGAATGTTATTGTGGTGCGTGTGTTTGGATGTGAGCTGTTTGACGTGAGCTGTTTGGATGACTGTGATCTCTCGGAGCACAACTCTCGGAAGTCACGACTTTGTAAATCATAGAAATTGGGCCGCCTGGCGCTTCCTAAGCCTGTACGTGTATTTAAATAATTTCAATATCATCTGAGGATTAGACATGTGACCGTGTTGTGGGGGGGTAATATACCAGGCTCTTTTGACCCACCGACCACAAATAGGTAATTTGCGCTGCACGTGACCGCAGTAACTTACATCTACCAGTTACCACCCGGTTTCTTCCGCAACCCTAGTACAAAGCAGGTCCTAAAATTACACCTTTACCCCTCTGCCCCTTTCCTTCTTACCACCATCACATCGTTGTGAAGTTGCCTGTAGAGACAAATTCTCGAACAGGTTTACCGCCCCGCCCACGTCTTGAAACTCGGAGCCATGAGCTTGGCGAAGTTCGCAAAGCAGTTACTTAACTGCCATAATGTGCCAAACCATATGAACGTGTCCACGGACCTCTTACCATCATCATCATTTTAAGAACTTCCAATTCCTCTCGTCTGCGGCGTCCTTGAGCTTGAGCACCTACAAATGCTTCGCTGCATGCTGTCTACCTCCCTCTGGCTTCTGTCTGAATCAATTTCGTTGCCGTCGCCGGACCGTTGTCTGGTGGTGGTGGTGGAGTTCTGAGTTGGCGTCCCAATGGCTCTCTGGGTGTACTGGAATTGCACTAGTAGCAACCCTGATCCATCTCTACCTGCTTTACTCCCTCTCCGCTGGTCTGTGACCCATTTTCTACAGTCCTGGGCCGACGAGGCTGCACTAGCCGATAACGGATCTCCCGGCGACGACATCCTATTTGCTTCGAACTGGTTCTCCTACGGTCCAAAGTGTGCTAACATACCAATATTGGTTAAATGGGCCTTGCCAGAGGCCGCGCATGAGCCAGATTTGTGGGGGTGTCGAATCAATTCACTTGCAGGGATCAATTGGTTACCAAGCGCACGGACCACGTTCGGGTGCAGTTTGGGGTCACACCACCTCCGCCGTTCGAGCTTGACTGGTGGTGTGTCTCAGTGTTTATAGATACTGGTCGCGCGTGGCGTGGTCGGTGTGGTCGATCTTGAGTCTGTGTCCCTGCCCTCGCGCAATGGTGTTATTGTGCCCTTGTGCACAGAATTAATTATTGTTTCACACATCTGCCCCTGGTTTTCCAAAGGCCTCGGTGACTCGCTGTTGTGTTTCTCACATCGGTGCGGTCATTGTATATTTTCGGCTACATTTCGCGGGCCTGATCTTGCCCACCTTAAAAGCGGTGACTCCGGTGAAGGCAAGTGGATTGTAGTGTAGTGGTAGTATATCGAGAGGCCCGATGTACAGTCGCTACAACTCAGCATGTTCCGAAAGGGACCACGCTGATCAATTTATCCTGAGTCTTATCCCTCGGGCCCTTCCCCATGCCCCACGGTAGTACCCACTTGACAGAAACCTAAGAATCAGCACACAGAAAACCATCAGACCATCAGCAAATCCGCGCAACGCTGATCAGCAAAGATCAGCGCCTATGATTTGATGTCCGCCGTACCAGCTGGTACCAGCCTGGTA